CAGAAATTCCAGTTCTTCTCTGTTCTTACCTGACCAGTTTCCATAATCCAATATCCAAAACACTGCAAGTTCTTGTTCGAAAACTAATATCAACTGGGCGCTACTTCTAAAATCAGCCAGGCGTACTTGCTGAGTGCTCATATCAGCCAAACAATACTGCACACAACAGGAGACTAAGATTGGAAGCAAATTGCAAAATTACCTTTCCTAATAAAAACGTAGACTTTTCTGTTTGGTTTGACGTAAATTCAGAGTGTTTAAGCGAAAAAATTTAATAAAAATGAGCCTGCCGTCCCAAACCGCTGACCGACCGCATACTAAAAATTACCAAAATATAAACTTAGGGAGCAAGATCCAGCTGGGGTCTTGCTTTTATATTAATCTCCATGTTAAAAGCTACATTTAGTCGAAGTTTCATACTTGTATCACTATTTGAACAATTCTATGATTTTTTGTCGCTTATCCCCCGGACTTTTAGCCTGTCTCAATAGCCAATCACAGCAGATACAAACAATGCAATGAAACAGTAAAATACACGTAACCAGCAAAAAGGGCGGGAAAACGCGTGCGACCAAGTCGCGATTGGTATGTTAACCTTGTATCTGATTGGTTGGATATGTAGAGGGTGCAAGTTCTTTTTTTTAACCAATCACAGAGTGTAGTAACGCGGGCACAAGAGCCTGTTTCCAACGTGATCAGATATTTGAGGCACAAGCTATGGCCACTTTTTAAAACGAAATGGTTCGGTTTTCAAAATCAAACAACCTACTTTTGCACAGAAACTAACGTTGATTACTTTAAAAAACATGTTAGTCTATGAAAATCGTAATTGAAAACAGTTTGTTTAGTTTATTTAGGACTCTGAACGAGTCCTCTGTTGACGAAGTGAAAGGAAGTCACTAGGCGGTAAGTGGACAGCTGTTTCGCAACCATAGCGATCATAGAGCCAAATCTATTCTTTACTATGATCAGCACCGTCTTTTTTCGAGAACAATTAGTCTGTGAGACCCATAAGCAATTCATAACATTTACCAAAATAACCAGCGGAATTCAATAACGCTTATGTTAAACTGCAAATCAAACGAGCGAAAGACCAAGTATTGCCAAATTTCAAGTTATCACTCTTCACGACAAGTGATGAAAATAAATTAAAGATATAATTGCTGAAACACGACTGTAGTTACGAGTGCAGCTGTTAAAACAAAACTTTAACTGAACTAGTTGAATCCGTACAAAGGGAGGCAATGCGCGTTATCTTTCCTTATTTAAGATACGGCGAATCCCTTGTTTGTTCGGGTTTGAAGTTACTATCTCAGCGGCGCATTCAAGCATGCGAACGGTTCATCCATACTATGTCAACTTCATCGTCTCCCTGCATGGCCCACTTGCTGCCCTACAGGCAGGTGTAAACCATGGCTATTATCTTCCTTCGGGCGGTGTTAGTCAGTGCGCTACCACTAACAAGCTTTCGCACACTGATAGATTTGAGACATTTCAGGACTACTATGCGAAAATTTGTTTTTGCTCCTTTGTCTTTATGGTTTACATATTTTTGTATTTTGTTACCGGCCACTCTTATAATTTAGCGTTGTCAATGCTACCACAAGGGAAATAAACATATTGATTGATTGACTGATTGATCGATTGACTGACTGATTGATTGATTGATTGATTGATTGATTGATTGATTGATTGAATACTTTTGACAGTTCCATGAATGGAGTCAGTCATCTATCAACTCAAGGAACAAATTATTTTATATTAAAGCGTTTGCAACCGTTTCAAGGCTTGTTCTTCTTAGATCACGGCTCAAAATTGAAAATTCTTTTCACAAAAAGCTCTGTCAGTTTGTGACTCATGCAATTACCTTTCTTCTTTACAGCTTTGAATTATTGAAAAGATCCTGGAAAAACGGTAAGGCTTACCACAAGCCAATTGAAACATATAAGAGATGCGCCCTGAGAAACGTGATTAAAAGGACCATCTCTTCTCCACACAGAATAGTGAAAGAATTTCCACTGATGAGCCAAGTTGAGTGAAAGAAATTTAGTCTAATAATCGCTTCTGTTAACTTCAGACACAGGGATAAGCCAGTTACATTAATTTACTGTTATAACTTCAGCTTTACGTTTGGATTGAGCATCTCTTTGTGATTGTTGCATTAAGCGAATCGCTTCCCTTAGGTAACTTAGCCTGTGACGTACATAATTTAAGTTAAAACTTCACTCCACACAAGCCACTTATTACTCAGCCACTCTTATCGCGTGATATCGTGGTTTTCATATGGGCAAAATTTTGCCCATATGTAAAGCTATTAAGTTCGACTGAGCCGGTCAAATTTAATAGTTGGGCCGACCCATAGCAAATTCGTCGAATTTAATTGATTCAAAAATCGAACTTCTCATGTGCCGAATCTAATGCATAAATTATTTCAATATATTTCCCACCCACAATCCTCGAACACGGAAAAGCATCAAGAGTCAAATGTAATTCGACATCTCAATCAACGTCGAATTTTAATTCATTTCGGTCGAACCAAATAGGCATTTGATTCGGCGTTTGAACTGGACCTAAGTGATTTTTCGGCAAAAAGAAAAAAGTCAGGGAAATCCAGTATTCAGAATTGCAGTCCAATCCAAATTGAAATTTTCCCAGTCTCCTCAAGCTGAACAGGACATTTCGTTTGATCTTATCTAACCTGTTGAGTGATAAGATATTCATACCAGACTTCTATCCGCCCGAACAGGAGGAACAACCAGCAGAAATAAAATCATGAGCTGCAAAAGTCTCTGTTTTCGTACAGTTAAACATAATTAATATCTTTTGTTCATCTGAAAAAGGTCCCCTTCTTGGGCGGAGCCTCTCCATATAGTCCACTATATAGAGTATCCCCCCTCCCCGAACTTATCTGCAGAAATCTTACTCCACTTCATCTTTTTTTTTTTTGGCGTTATCTCAAACGACGTATTTTCAAACAGTTCAGAAGTAATAACTACTTCCTCTGAAGATTACTTCTCTTGACATTTCAAAGAAATTCCAGTACTTAACGTTTGCAGATGGACGTCCAGTGTTTATTTCCAAGGGACCTGTGGGGAAACACCGAACGCGATCCATTTAACCCAGCTTTCTGGACTAGGTATCGAGCGAGCCGTTATGTCGGACGGCTAACGACAGAACGTCGATCAAGTGTCGGTGAAATGACGGTGAAATGTTAGTGACGTATCGGTAGCTTGTCATCGAGTGGCGGTCGATGGTCTGTATCGGTAGACCAGCGGTCGACTCTCGGTTGGCAATCGATCGACATGTCGGTCGCGTATCGGTCGAGTGTCGATCGAGTAACGATCGATATCTCGACCGATGCATCGGTCGATATATCGATCGTGGTACACTAAAAGATACGTGATCCATTTTGCCCACGTATTCGTGTTGTTTACATCAGCGGTTCACTATACTGAGGTACTGCGCTGAATGATTAATTAAAACGTGACCATGAACTGTTTACGGATCGTGGGAACATGGAGAATTCTATACTGTATCGACTGTTGACATTCAGAAACTGACTTAAACATACATGTCTAACGCGACCAACAAAGGAATAGAAAACTTCCAATAAAAACTTTGGGAGAATGACAATTTAACTATCACCTAACCCAGCTGGCAGTCTCCGATTATTTCACCACTAAAAAGCGATATTCAACTTTCTAACAAAGCGTACAAATATTTTCAACCTTAAAAAACAAACTTCCTCATCGCCCATCAATCACTCAACAATTGAAAAGGAAACTAAAGAGAACGAGAGAACGAAGCAGAATCGGTCGTTAAAAAAAAAAGGGATTTTAACCCCTCACTCTAGCGATCTCCCCTAAGAGAAGGTCAATACCTCAGTCGATCGACAGACTGACAGGCAGATAGACAGCCCGATGTGACGAAACATGAATAGATAGGAATCAATAAAGCTGTACAACCCACCTTTACACTCTGGAACTAAACCAGACTGACCTCTTGGACACGGTTCCTTTGTTCCTGTAGACAGTTCAAAATAAAGTTGCTGTAGGAAAACCGACACGAGTCACACTAGCACAATAGAAGCAAGTTGTACATATCATTCTTTCCATATAGAATGTGACGCAACGTCACATTCTATACCAACAGCACTGAGTGTAAATTGATTCAAGAACATTTTATACCTCCATATGTTTAAATAGCTAAAGAATGAATAAAAAGAAGGCAACATTCTCCCGCCAAGCATGGAGTGTCAAAACAGTATACTAACCACCAACAACGCTTTTTCTGTTGAAGACACCTTACAAAATTCCAGAAACCAAGAAACACCGGTCCTAGGTCAACCTCTTTCATATGAAAAATACCAAGAAAAAAAGCACACACGCATACAAACAGTGTAAACGTTTTCACGTAGCCAGGTAAACGAGAACAGCTTCTCAATTCAACATCAAAACATTTCTCTATTTGATACGCGCATGTCACGTTTAGACTTTATGTTAGTGAACAATTTCAAATTAATGTAAAAAAACTTAGGGAACGAAAACCAGTCATTTGTGGAATTTTCTTAGGGAGTAAAGGTTTCAGTGTGACCGTATCAGCTAGGGCATCCAGAGTCTGTCCGGCAGCAATTCCTCCTGTCAGTTCTACACCATAACAGCCCATGTAATTCCCTCGATAAATTTCCCTCTCGTGCGCTATATTGCATTTAGAGGAGTGGTAAACAGTAGCAGAAGCAGTACTGAAAATGGTTGGTATAGATTTTTTTCTGAGGAGAGGTGTGACTCTACACGACGATTTGGTGCAGTTGGGTTAAAATGAGCAGGCAGAGCTCTGTCACACAACAATAACATAACCAAAAAATGCATATTTCGT